TGTCATGCCCATTCCCTGACTCTGCAATGCTGTTCCATGCCACGTCATGCCTGTCCCTGGCTGTGCCATGTCCTGACCCTGCTGTCCTCAGCTGCAGAGCCTGGAGCAGGAGAAGGCACGCTGGAGGGCCGAGAAGGCCCAGCTGGAGCAGAGTGTGGAGGAGAACAAGGAGCGGATGGAGAAGCTGGAGGGGTACTGGATGGAAGCACAGAACCTCTGCCAGGCCGTGGACGAGCACCTCAAGGAGACTCAGGCGCAGTACCAGACCCTGGAGCGCAAGTACAGCAAGGCCAAGAGGCTCATCAAGGAGTACCAGCAAAAGTGAGGGCAGCGTCAGGCTCTGGGCACCCATTCGTCTCCCTGGGCACCCCTCCATCCCCATGGGCATGATCCATCCTGAGAGCAGACATCCATCCCCATGGGCACTGAGATCCCTGTGGCACCATCCTCTTCCCGGGTACCCCTTGCCCTTGGGCAGACCATTGGGTATGAGCCATCCCATGGGCATGGATCATGCTGTTGGCACGGACCCACCTGTGGGGCGCTGACCCCTTCATGGGCACCCATTGTCCTTGGGCATAGACCATCTGTTGGGCATGAAACTTTTGCCAGGGCACCAGCTTCTTCCTGGACATCGCCTGCCCCCTGGGCAGGGACCTCCCCCTCTGGCCAGAAACCCATCTATGTGGCACCAAATCCCTCCTGGGTACCCTTCAACCCCCCCGAGCAGGGACGTTCCCTTGGGCAGGGGCCTTCCCCTTGATGTGGAAGCATCTCTTGGGCACCAACTCCTTCCCGCTCCCTCCCAACCCTGCCCCCAGCTCCATGGGGTGTCCCCAGTGCTGGGAGGGGATGGGGGGACACATGCACCCACACACTGGTCCTGCAGGGAGATCGAGTTCCTCAAGAAGGAGACAGCGCAGCGGCGGGTGCTGGAGGAGTCAGAGCTGGCGCACAAGGAGGAGATGGAGAAACTGCAGGAGAAGGTGGGCACCGGGCGCCGGGACGCGGGCTGCCCCTGAGCCCTGCTGCCGTCACGCCGCTCCCGCCACGGCCCATGGCTTCCCATGGCTTCCCGTCGCCGCTGGATCCCAGGATGGGTTGCAGCAGATCTGCTCGGGCGCCGGCTCGCGCCAAGCTGCTGGATCCCGCCGCCGGGTGGTAGCGGAGCTGTGTGAGGCGCTGGCTCCCCTCCGGACTGAGCTCCGGCCGCGGGATCCCAACGCCGGATCGCAGTGGATCTGCTTTGGGCACCGGGATCCCACCGGATTTGTGCTCTGGATCACAGTGGATCTGCTCAGGCGCTGGCGCACGCCCGATTCTCCTCCTGGCACTGGATCCCACACTGGATTGCAGTGGATCTGCTGAGGGTTTGGGTCTCAGTGGATCCTGCCTCAGGGTCTGACATCCCATAATGGATCAAAAGGGATTTTCTTGGCACTGGATCCCAGGCTGCTTGCGTGGGATCCTGCAGTGGTTTCCTATTGATGGGCATGAGGCATGGGGCCACACTGGATCATCTGTTGCGAGCTGGATCCCATGCTGGTCATGCTGGATCCCACAACAGATTGCCCTGGATTCCGTGCCAGCTGCTCCCCTGCAGCAGGCAGGGATCACTGGATCCCCCGGGATCCTGCAGCGCTGCCGTGGGTTGCGGTGGGGGGCTCATGGGCACCAGGGTGCAGGGGAGCACGGGGAGGTCCCCCGGTTCCCACCAGAGCCCCCACATGTACCCCCCTCCTGTCACCTCCAAAATGTCCCCCTGACACCCCCCAGAGACTCACACCTTGCTGCCTGCAGCCCCCATGGCCCAGCCCTGTGTCCCCTATCCCTGTCCCCCACCACCTCAACCCTTGTCCCTGTGCCCCTATCCTGGTGCCCCCATCCCTGTGTCTCCCACCACCCCAGCACCCTCATGTTTTGCCCCCCTTGACCTGCCCTTCCCATCCCTGTATCCCCATCCCTATGTCCTCTCACCTTGTGCCCCACAGCCTTGTCCCCCCCACTACAGGTTTGCATCCCTGTCCCTGTGTCCCCGTGTCCCCTGTCCCTGTGTATCCCCGTTTGTCCCCGTGTCCCCTGTCCCTGTGTGCCCCTCCCGTGCTCCCCCCCCCCCCAGCTGAGACCTGTCCCTTTGCTGTTTTTCAGATCTCCGAACTGGAGGCCAAGCTGCAGACTTTGAAAAATTCCAACCCGACTTAAGTCACCCTCAAACCGCAGCGATACTGGGGGGGGTCCCTCCCCCCCCAAGGCCTGTCCCTCCCCCCAGCCCCAAAACCTCTTCCCCACCCGGGAGGAGGTGAGACCCTGCCAAAGCCTCCTGGTGCCCCTACCTCCCCCTGGGGGCACAGACATGAGGGGGGGGGGGGGGGAACTGGGGGGGGCACACCCCACCTTAGTGTCTGTGTCCAGTGTGAGTCTCGTGGTAACGTGATGGACCAACTGGGGGGGGGAACGGCCCCCCCCTCCGGCGCCCCCCCTCCCCTCGACGTGACTCCCCTCCCCCTCCCCCCAGACACAGAGCTGGCACCTGGTTGGACACTGGTGGGGGGGTGGAAGAAATGCGTCCCCCCCCAAATGTGAGCTATATTGGAGAGCAAAGGGGGGCTATGCTGGAAGCCCCCCATCCCCAGCTCCTCTTGAGACTCACCTGAAGCACTTGGGGGGAGCGGTTGCCTTTGGGTCCCTCTCGTGTCCTCGATCCCGGCCCCACAGTGGGATGCCCCCCCCCCATGTTTGGGTGCAGAGGGGGGGCTTCAAGCGCCCCCCCCCCCCCCCCCGACAGGAGGGACCCTCTCAGCCTTTGCCAACCCCTGCAGTGGGCATGGGGGGGGCCCAAACTCCCACTTGTAGGGGGGCATGGCTGGGGGGACTGCCCCCCAGCACCTGCTTCCCCCCCCCCCCCAAGCCCAGGGCTTTCGCCTTCCTTGGGCGGGGGGGGCACACACACGGGGGTCCCCCTCCAGGGTGGGGGCGATGCTCTCACCCCCCCCCAACTGTAAATACCCCCCTGTCCCCCAATAAATCACAGTATTTCTCGGGGCTGGGATGCCCTCGCCACCCGTCACCTCCAGCCGGGTCGGGGGATCCCGGACCCTCGGCCCGGGGGGGGGGAACTCCTTTATTTTTTATTTCTATTTTGACCCCCTCCCTGTTGTCCTCCCCCCCCCCCCCCCCCAAGTCTCCGACAGTAACTGGATGTGGGGGTAACTGGGAGCCAGAGCTGGTTATACTGGGAAGGGGAGGAGGGAGGCACGCGGGGGGTGAGGGGGGGTCCCACTGGATTGGAGCCGCTTGGAGGGGGGGGGGAAGTATTTAAGGAGGGAGAAGAGCCCCGGAGGGGTGCTGGGTTATTTAAGCTCACAGTGTACCGTGTATATACTATATATATATCTGTACAATGGAGGCACTGGCCCTCGTTTGGTACGGCCCCGGGCACCGGTCTGCGGGTACTGGGAGCACTGGGGAGGATGGGGGGCACTGCGGGGAATGGGAAGAACTCGAAGACCACAGGGGGAGCTGGGGAGACTGGGCAAGTGAAGGGATTGGGGGGCCTGGGGGCTGGGAGCGCTGGGAACACCGGAAAGGATGTGGGACACTGGGGAGGACTGGGTGCATGGGGAGCACTGGGAGGGGTGGGGAGAGCACGGTAAAAACTGGGAGGTCACTGGGAAGATCTGGGAGACCGCTGGAAGGACCGGCAGTACGGGGAAGGACGGGTTGAGTGGGAGCAGTGGGGGGGTCTGGGAACAATGGGAAGGATGAGGGTGACTCGGGGCGCTGGGGGCACTGGGAAGCATGGGGGGCACTGAGTGGACTGGGAAGGACTGGAGGGGCTGCGGACATTGGCAGTGACGGCGCGCCCCGCCCGCTCCCCCGTGCCGAGCTCAGGGCACCCGCAGGCGCTGTCCGTTCAGTACCGCCGGGCAGGGCCGGGAGCAGAGCTCATCCCGGCCCCTTCGGCGATCCTGCTCCAGGCGGCAGGAGGGGATCAGGACGCCCAAGGAGAGCAAATGAATAGGAGGCGGGGGGGCAGAACACGGATGCGCAAAGACCGGGATGGGACATCCACCAGGGAGCGGCAGGGCACAGCCCCAGCCCCAGCTCGTCCGCCCTAAATTCCCTCCTTCCTTCGCGAGCGTCCTGGAGCACAGTGAGTAGAGCACGAACGTCCGGCCCTGCTCCCACAGCCGAAGAGCCAGGAGGGAAAGCTGGTGCTGGGCCTATCCTGCACACGGTGAGCTCCGCAGCGGTGCCACCATCGCTCTCGCTCCTCGCTTTCCCACCTAAAACCCAATTCCGTGCAACCTCTCTGGCGCCCTCTCCCGGCCATTCTGCAGCACAGCGGCAAGGCAAGGGGGTCCGGTCCCTGCTCCCGCAGCCAAAGAGCCAGCACAGGACAGTAAAGCTGCTGCTGAGCCTTGCCTGCACTCGATGAGCTTCGCAACGCTGCCAGTGAACGCTGCCATACAGGACATGCTGGAACTTCAATGTGAACCGCAGACCAGGGCAGCCAAGTGGGATGGCACAATTGATACCGGCAATGCATTGTCTCAATCCCGGCTGGCAGCATGAACCAGAAGCTGGATCCCGCAGTGCCAGCATCCAGCTGGTGGCAGTCCCTGGACCCAACCCTGCCCAGGCCTGGGGGACCCTTCACTCTCCACTCTGCAGTGGCTGCCCGAGGCACACCTCGGCTGGCTCCAGCACAGAGCTCCTCTCCTGGGGAGCTCCCATGTCCTCCCAGGCCACCCTGGGACAGCTGTGGGGTCTCTCTGCCCCCCTGCCTCATCTGCCATGGCCCTCAGTGGGGAACGGGGGCACTTGCTGGATCTGCTGCTGCACACCTGAAGGGAAATGGACTGGGAGCTGTGACTCATTGTGCTTCACAGGGGAATGGTTCAGAGAAGTCATCCTTGTGCGGATAACTGAAAGGGCCTTATTAATGACCAATGGTAGTTAATCAGGGACTGAATTAAAATCAAATGGGAATGCAATAGTGATTTAGCAATAACTGAATTTTAATTCAACTGTTAATTCCCAATGATTTGAAGATGATGTAAATGATAATTTAGATGATGACTTAGACAATGAGTTTGCCTTCCAGTATCTGATTGATTTTTACAAGAAAGGTGGAGGCGAATTCTTTACAAAGGCATGTAGTGATCAGACAACTGGGAACGGCTTTAAGTTGACAGAGGGGGGTGAATGAGATGAGACCTTAGGAGGAAGTTCTTCCCTGTGAGGGTGGTGGGACACTGTCACAGGTTGCTCAGAATGATAGCCGTCTGGCAGCGGGTGTATTGCTGATTCAAGGCATGCAGAGAGGCAGCTCTCCCTGGATTTACCAGAGATTTAATATAGATTTGATAAGAAGGAGGGAAATTCTATTTAGTGAGTGTCAGGACTGAGTAAATGCTCCCTGCTCTTGGCAAGATTGGAGTAAAAAAAAAACAAACAATAAAACCCCAGTTTGCCATATTTGGGTGGGATTTGGGCTGCTTTGACCCCTAAAGCACCTCCAGTGCATCCTCAACACCCACAGAGCATCCCAGGGATACCCCTAGAGAATCCCAGAGAATGCCTGGAGCACCTCCAGAGCATCCCATGGACCCAACCATCACAGTGAACATGGGGACATGGGGACCAGAGGGGTGGCTGATTCTGGAACTCCCTGTGTTCACGTGTGTAAGGCCATGGAACTCCACGGAACCCATCACCAGAGTCACTGGTAGATGACAGCTGCCCCATGTAACACAAGCTACCGGTGGAGGAGGCAACAGCAGCTCCTCTGGTGGTTCCTGTCCTGGTGTCTTGGTGCCAGCGATGCCTGTGGACACAGGAGCATGGAACGAGATGGGTGGCAATGGTGATCTTGGGGTACTTTAGGAGTTGCCAAGAACACCTCAAGTGACTTCCCCAGAGTGGCTGCTTTGGACTTGGTGTGTGAGTTGTTCTGGCTGAGCTGGCAGCAGAGCGCTGTGGCTGCCTTAAATCCTGAGATCTCCCCTCACTTCTTGTGGGGAGAACAAGGGCGTGTGGGGATGGGACAAGGGGAAACGGCTTTAACCTGACAGAGAGGGGAGACTGAGATGAGATCTCAGGAAGAAGCTCTTCCCTGTGAGGTTGGTGGGACACTGGGAAAGGGTGCCCAGAGAAGCTGTGGCTGCCCCATCCCTGGCAGTGTTCAAGGCTAGGTTGGACACAGGGGCTTGGAGCAAGCTGCTCTAGTGGAAGGTGTCCCTGCCCGTGGCAGGGGTTGGAGCTGGAGGAGCTTTAAGGTTCCTCCTAACCCAAACCATTCCATGCTTCTGTGACATCCTCAACACCCAATTTGTGGCAGTGTCTATAATTTAACAACTGTGGACATGCAGTATCAGTTCGCTCCTTCTCACAGCCTTTTTCCCTGACCAGAGGGGTTGAGGACGGCCCCTACTTGGGTCCCCATACCCTTGGGTAGGGCACATTCTGGAGGGTAGATTTTGTCTAGTTAAGCCCACCAGCACTTTTGGATCACTGACTAATGTTGCACTTGGGCATTTTGGGCATCTCCCCACTGCCCAAGTCCTGCCAGCCCATCTGTGCTAAGCACTTACAATCAACTGAGGGAAGCAGAGTAATGAGGACATACATAATAAACTTAAAATGCTCAGTAATACTAAGACCATAAATGAAAGAATCACAGAGTATCTCCCTACCAAGCACAAGTGCATGTGTTCCTGTCTTTCACACTACTATCTCCTAAGCTCGTCAAGATGCCTTCCTGAGCTTAGGTGGTTTACTTTTAATGCTTTTTCTATTGAAGGTGGTTTTTATCCTGCTAACCCTTAAAGCTGTCAGAATGTAATTAGAGAAACCCAAGCTGGATCAACCTATTTTTAATTAAGTCACCTGTTAGAAACATGCATGCCAGGAGGTAAACTGCTCTTTTGTTAGATTTATTCTCAAATACCTGTACGCAGATGCTGGTTTGGGGCTGCAGCTGTGGAGCTATTGGTGACTCATGTCCAGTGCAAGTGGGTGTATTCACTGGCAGCAGATGCTGACGTTCAAGACATGGTGCCATCTGAAGAAAAAGCCACATCACATCATGCCATTAAGTTTATCAAGAGGTTTTCAGTATTTCCCCGGTTACAGTCTGCAGCAGCAAAGTCACTAGAAACATAGCAGCTGATAGCCACAGCTGCTGGCACGGATCCTTACATAGCTAAGGCTATTGAGAAAATAGGAAGACAACTGCAAAGAATGACTTTACTGACAACTAAAACTAGGCCAGAAAGGTACTAAGTCAGTTTACAGTAAAACTAAAAGCTGCTGTCAACTGTGGGAGTCAAAATCCTCCCAATTATGAACCTAATCTAAAGAGGTGGTGAATATTCTTAGTCATCACTTGAAGCTACAACATTGCCCCAGACAACACATCTTTCTGATGATACAGGGGAAAAATTACACCACTGACTTGTTAGATCAGGTTATTATATCTTGGGAAGAGTTGAGACAAGACAGTTACAGACATGGCTGTAAAAACTCAGTGCTCTTACATATATGTCCACATCTGCCACCATTCAAAGTTTCAGGCATGAAGGATCTTTTACAGCTATGACACAAGCAGTAGTTACTAACTGCACTACTTAGCACTGAAACAAGATGCATATGCAGGTCCTGAAGATGTGGTGGTTGTTATTGCAGCATGAAGAGGAAACTGAATTTGGTGACGTTTCCTGACACTGCGTCCCTGCTCCCGACCCGTTCCCCCCGGCTCCATCTCGACCTTTCCCACTCACTCCCTGCCACAGCCCCGCTCCTGCCCGGCTCCATCTCGCCCTCCCCTCAGTGGCACCGCCTCTGACATCACCCCCCCCGCGCCGCCCGCTGTCTTGGCGAGGGGAAGCCGGAGCCGAAGGTTCCTGCCCAGAAACACCAAGGGCTGGAGCTCACCCGCGTCTGCCCCGGGAGCAGGGTCAGGCCCCACAGCTCTGCTCCTGCCAGCGCTGCCGAGCCCTGCACTCACTCGATGGTGCCATCGGAGCGCCCCACACAGCGCAGCACGGGCTGGGCCGTTGCTCTGGCTCCGGCAGAGGCACAACTGCCTCGGGAAGCTGCCAGCGAGCAACGAGAGCTGAGAAGCGGCTGAAAGCCAAGGGTGCTGCAGGGGAAAGGAGAGCCTCAGCCCTTGGGCTTCCTTCGGGGGAGGTGGAGCCACACTTAGCATGATTCTTAAAGCCAGATCACATCTGGCCTGAGGCGGGGGGTTTGTTTTTGTTTTTTTTTTTCCTAATACACGTATTTCTGGATGTGTTTCAGAGCAGAACCTGGATTTTAGCGTGCTGGGAATAAATCCCTGGAAAGCTTGCCAATTATTGCTGCACAGTTGCCCTGGGTTCAGCTGTAACAGTTCTTTTTCTCCTTCTTAGCCACCAACTTAAAATGAGTTCAGATTTTTTTTGTAAAGGATGCACAAAAGCTTTGTTTATTTCTTCATTGTCTTACATTTTGGTGTCTGGGATTTTGTTGGTTTGTTTTGTTGTTTTTCTTTATTTCCTTCTTTCTTTGTTTCCCAATACTTGTGCAGTTTTATCTCAGGGTTGTATGAAACCTTCATGAAGACCCTACTGGCCTGATATCCAGAGGTGAACTCACCCCGCAGCCTGCAGTGAGGATCACTGGGGCCCAGGTTCTGGGGAGACGCTGGCTTAGGCAGTCAGCTGTGTCCCATCTGCCTTGAGAAACTGCCACCACAACATGCAAATGGCCCATGCCCACTGTGAAATGCGAACTCACTCTTCTAAACGAGATAACAAGGTTTTATTGAGGGACAAAGTCAATACAGCAAAAGCAACAACGCTGGGCACACGACCATAGCCAGAGGTGCGAGTGATTACTATTTGTTACAGGTTTATATACTTTCACTTACATTAGTTACATTCATATTCATAATTCCCGCATATGGGCGGGGGAGATTATAACTAGCTTCAAGAATTTATTATCATAAGTCTCCTCCTCTTGGTGTCTGCGCACTGCTCTGTGGTGATTGTGGGCAGGGGTCTTGAGGATGAAGTAACCAGTCTTCCTCTTGTGAGTAGGGGTCTTCAAGATGAAGTAAGCAGTCTTCCTCACGGTGTACTTTTCACCTCTGGCACAGTTGGACCCCCCAGCAATCACACAACCAGCTATATCTGTAATTATTCTGAGAACTAGCAAAGATTTAAAACAGTGTGACCTGCCTGCAAAATTTATTGCAGGATGGGCAGACAAGGAGTATCCCAAGCTAGCAGAGCCTTGGGAGGCTCTGTCTCCAAACTAACTGATAAGTAGAAGGATGGTGTGAAATAACTCATTCATGTTTAGTGGGGCCACTAAATCCTGTTATCTCGCCACAGACTTACAACACAAACATCGCTCTTTAAAACTACTTTGGAAGACTGGTGTGAAACAATTAACTCATGCTTAGTGGGGCCACTACATTCCACAGACTTACAATGTAAACATTGTTCTCTTTCTACAACCAAAGTTAAGCTAAAAAGTACTTTATGTTTTCCAGGCACCAGCTTACCTTATATCAAGCTTCACCCCCCTCCCCCCCTTTCTTTTACCTTTACAAATTCTTTTGCTATGTGACTCCGTTTTGATCAAGAGAGCTGAACCTTTTTAACTTATTGTCTAGTCTTGTGTCCTTAGAGAGTTTTGTTTCTGTTACTGTAAACTTGCACAGTTATATGCACATAACCACACCTATGATTTGTGAAAGCAAACATAAACATTTATGTGTTTATCACACACACACATCAGCATCCCAGGGCCAGCGGTGCCGGCCCCATCTCTTCCCCTTGGACCTGAAATTCACCTCCTCAAAAACCACAGCTGGGGTGGGAAACCCTCATGGGCGTGGGAAACCCTCGTTTAGGACAGCGGGGCAGGAAAGCCTTGCGAGGGACAGCTGCTGTGTCTGACAAAGCAGAGCCCCACGAGGCTGCTGAAGCAGACAGGACTGGTGGAACTGGGGCAGAACCCAAGGGAGGGGGCAGTTGGCCCCTACCCAACCGGCACTGACCAACTGCCGTGGCAGGTACAGCAGCAGCTCCCGCTCCTCCTGGTGCTCCTGCCCTACAGGTAAACCCCAGCCTGCCAAGCTCTCCCCCCAGCACCTCTCTGCTTCTCCCAATAGAGAGGCTCCCTCTCCAGCTGTCCATGGCATCAGAGGTGCCCAGAGTGAGCTTCACCGCTCCGGCCGCGCCGCCTCCTGTGCATGCCTGTGTGCTCCCCTCTGTCCCGGGGCTGCCAGTCTCTGCTGAGCCTGCCCAAGTCCAGCAGCTCCCCAGGGAGCCAGCAGCAGCAGCGGCGATGGAGAACAGCAAGGACAATGTCCCTGATGTTTACGATTTCACTGACTTACTCAATGCGCTCCCTGACCTGGTTGAGAACACGCTGGAAGGTGGCTCCCGCAAGGAGCCAGCAGCGGTGGCAGGGCTGGGGAACAATGAGAACAGCGTCCCAAACACCCATGATACGAATGCCTTGCTCAGTGCTCTCCCTGATGTGTCTGAGAACGTGGTGGAAGGCAGCTGCTCCAAGGAGCCAGCAGTGATGTCAGGGCTGTGGAACAGTGACACCATCCACAACACCCATGATATGAATGCCTTGCTCTGTGTGCTCCCTGTTGTGTCTGAGAATGTGGTGGAAGGCAGCTGCCACAAGGAGCCAGCAGTGATGTCAGGGCTGTGGAACAGTGACACCATCCACAACACCCATGATATGAATGCCTTGCTCTATGTGCTCCCTGATGTGTCTGAGAATGTGGTGGAAGGCAGCTGCCACAAGGAGCCAACAGTGGTGGCAGGGCATGCAGACAATGAGAACACCGTCACTGGGGTCTGTGATTTGTCTGCCTTGCTCAGTGCTCTCCCTGACCTGACTGAGAACATGGTGGAGGGTAGCTACCGCAGGAGCCAGCAGCCGTGGCAGTGCTGAAGAACAGTCAGAACAGCATCCCCAACTGTTGCAGAATGACTTTAAGAGCAGAACCATAGAGTTCTGGAGGACTGTGCAAGCAAGGCAGGGGGTGGCCCCCACAGGTGGCCAGAGACCGGACCTGGGAGGAGAATGTGGAGGAAGCTGTGGGGGCTAACCAATACTGTTATGCCAAGAAGGAGTGGCTGAATACCACTCCTATATATGTGTGAACTGCGTCACAAATAAACTGGAAGTTGCTTATCACCCATATTGGGTTGGCCTGTCTGCTTCTCCTCGCCGCTTACAAATGGCGCCCGAACAGGGACGCGGATTACAGGGCCCTGGTCGCTGGGGACCCGGATTATAGGGCTCCGACTAGCGGGGACCCAGGATATAGGGCCCCGACTAGCGGGGACCCGGGATACAGGGCCCCGGTCGACGGGGACCTGGATAAAGGGCCCCGGCCGACGGGGACCCGGATAAAGGGACCCGACTAGCGGGGACCCGGGATACAGGGCCCCGACTAGCGGGGACCCGGGATACAGGGCCCCGGTCGACGGGGACCCGGGATACAGGGACCCGGTTTAACGGGGACCCAGGATACAGGGACCCAGTTTAACGGGGACCCAGGATACAGGGACCCGGTTTAACGGGGACCCAGGATACAGGGACCCGGTTTAACGGGGACCCAGGATACAGGGCCCCGGTCGACGGGGACCCGGGATACAGGGCCCCGACTAGCGGGGACCCGGGATACAGGGCCCCGGTCGACGGGGACCCGGAACGGCGAGAGAGCGGCGCCGGCGGCAGCGGCCGGGCAGCGCGGGCAATGCTGCTGCGGTGGCGTGACGGACCCGGGTGCTGCGACTTTCCGAAAAAGTCCGCCGCTGGGGTATACCAGACACTGCTGCGTCGGGAGGCCGATCCGGAGACCGAGGTTACATGACGACCCAGAAGAAGACGATCCAGAAAAGGCTGGCCATGAAAATGGACCGAGAGGTAGCCCTGGACTTATTACAGTGCTTTTTATAAAAGCGGGGAACTGAGCCTTGAACTTTTACAGTGCTTTTTATAAAAGCGGGGAACTGAGCCCTGAACTTTTTACAGTGCTTTTTATAAAAGCGGGGAATTGAGCCTGAGACTCTAAAGCAGCTAGCAGGTCTACTGCCTGTAGGGAAGGCTAAGAGATTTTTTTTGCAGATCCTAATACAATATTTGAGAAGAGTGAGTGGCAAAAGTTTGGTGATGAACTATTTGACTCTGTGCTTAATGATTACAAGAAGGCAAAGAAACTCGGTAAACCACGGAGGGAAGTAATGAACTGTATAAAAAGATACAAGGCAGAAAAGAAAACTGCCGCGGTAGCAACGGAGAAACTAGGAACAGACGTCCCCGGTCGGTTGAAACCGGGGGAAGATTACAACTCGTTCCCCCCTCCCCCCCCCCACTCGCGGGAGCACAGGGTTTCCCACCCCGCACCCCCCCCTTCCTTTTCTCCCCCTCCTCCATCAGAAGGTGCCGCGGAGGAGGTGCTCCCCCACCACCCCAGTTCCGAAAGTAGGGACTTTGAAAAGGACAGAGAAAGTATATTAGAAGGTACACGCATGATAAATGTCGAGAAATCCGAAAGAAAAAGGGCGGTGCCTCGGCGCCGGATCGATTGTGGCGCCACTGTGAAGCACGCAGTAAAAAATAGAGATCATGCGCGAGCGGGAGATTTAAAGGAACCGCGAGCCTCTCCAACCCACTACGCCCTAGAGTGAAAAAATTTTTA